ACTGCCTGTTGCTGCTGCGGGCGCTGCTGCGGGCGTCTGGCTGCCCAAGTAAAGAACCGCACCAGCTCAGGGCAACTGTGAGGAGCAAGAGGGGAGAGGCAGAGAAGGAGGCAGAGAAGGAGGAGAGCACCTGGTCAGTTGGGGGAGGCTTCTTGTGCTGCGAAAGAGGCGGCTAATGATCTCCGGCTCCACTCTGCTTCTCCAACATCCGCCGCTGCCCTGTTCTGTGCGCCGGCTGCTCGGACTTGCTGGGCCTGACACAGAACAGGGTGGCGCCGGATGTTGGAGAAGCAGAGCGGAGCCGGAGATCATTAGCCGCCTCTTTCGCAGCACAAGAAGAACAGGGTGGTGCCGGACCATTGGAGAAGCGGAGCAAAGCCAGAGATTAGTAGCTGCCTCTTTCGGCGCAGAAAGCTTCCCCCAACCAGCCGGCTGGTCTCCTCCTTCTCTGCCTGTTTGTTCTGTATGGCCGAGGAGGAGGAGACCAGCTGAGAAGCATGCTGCCAGGCGGGGGCCACGCGGCGCAGGGCAACACGCCACCGCCCAGCCCTGGCGAGGGAAAGCAGTGGGCGTTCCCCGGGCGGTGGCCTTGGCCCCGCTACCAGGGAAGCGGCTGCCCAGCTCCGTGTTGTATGTGCAATTTTTTGGCGCGCGGCGCGGGGTCTCTTTTGGCCAGCCCCAATTTTTTTTTCAGAGGGGAATATTTTTTTTTCAGAGGCGGGCCGTATTAAAATGACCAACGGGCCGGATGTGTCCCGCGGGCCGTAGTTTGCCCACCCCTGGTATAAGACTAGGAACAGTTACAGGTAGTTCTTTACTGATGACCACAATTCAGCCAAACATTTCTGTTGCTAAGCAAGACAGCTGTTAAGTGAATTTTGCCCCATTTTACAACTTTTCTTGCTACCATAGTTAAGTAAATCACTATGGTTGTTAAGAGGATTTGCCTTCTCCACTGACTTTAATTGTTAGAGGGTCACAAAAGGTAATCATATATGGAGCCGAAGGCGGAGCCTCCTCACTGACAGACCATAGATCGCGACTCTCTGTGGCTATGGTCCGAGCTCTTTCGTTGGAGAGCCCCAATCATTACGATTAGGGGCTGAAGCTGTCTTGGAGGGGCGGTGGAGTAAGGGGAAGCCGCAAGCCAAGTTGAGGGGAGCCGCATCTCCCCTCCTGGGCTTGGTCTCCCCCCCACAAAGACGACTGCAGCGGTGGTTTAAAATGGCCACCCCAAAGAGGAGGACTCAGCTGGATTAAGATTTGTGCAGGAGGGAAGAAAGAGGTGGATAACATCTGAACCGGGACAATTGGGTGATACAACGAAACAAAAGTACCCCGGGATTAAGGTAATATGGAATTTTTAAGAAAATAAAAGTGAGCGGCGAAATTACAAAGGGACAGGGAAAAAAAAATAAGAAAATATTTTTGACAGCTAAGCGGGGCTTTAAACTGGGAAAGGAAGAAGCAGGAACTAAAGATTTAACTAAATTGGACTAAAATATTTTGGCAATAAACAGGCATAAAATAAAGCTGGACTTAAGATTGTCAAAAAATAATAATAATAAAGTTTACAAATTGGAGACTGGACTGTGCTGGAATATTGAAAAAAAATTGGGGGAAAAGGTGACTTTGTATAATGGACAGTGCCACCTTTTGACAACAACTTGAGCTCAAACAAAAGGGAAAGCATCCTGTTTCTGAATAAACTTGTGTGGATATAACATTAAAGAAATATTGAAACAAAGTAAGAATCTTAGAAAGTGAAAGCAGAACCAGAATAAAGAAAAAAGCAAGGAAAGACTGACTGTGGGATTGATTGATGTTTTTGGTATAGACCCTGGGCTGGAATAATTGAGAACTTTAGAAAATTGAAAGAAGAAAGAAGGAAAGTAAAAGTGTTTTTTTGTGTGTGTGTGTGGACTTTAACGATCATAAAATACAAGAGTGTGTAATGATGATATCTCTTCGGGAATTAAAAATGGAACTTAAAAATATGAGAGAATTACTACAGGAAAGAGGCGAATCACTTTGTTCTGTGTTAGAAAAAATGGAAATGGCGATTGAAGAACAAGAAGAAAGAACTTCAGAGGAGGAGGAGTCGACTCAAGGAGAAGACATCTTAAATAGACAATTAACACAAAGAACACTACAAAGAAGTGGGGAAAGAAGGAAAGTTAAAAAGTTGGGATTTAAGAAGGCAATCAAAAGGGGGAACACCTGTGAAGTCGGGAAAGACAGAAAGACCCAGCAGAAAAGGGGAAAGGAAGATATTAAGAAAGAGAGGGATATAAATTGGAATGAGAAAAGATATGGGGAAAAGAGGGGGAGGAGAAGCAGTAAGAAACAGGTGCATGAAATAAAGAAATACAGAAATAGTAAAATGTTGAAAAGAAATTGTTTTTTCAGAGATAATGGTTAATGAATTAAAAAGGGGATTCTGTAGGGTGACAAGGGGTAATAAGAATATTTCTGCAATTAAAAATATTTAGAAAATAGGGTAATATAGATACTGATAACTCTTATTAAAAATTAAGGGGGGGAAATATGCTGCGGAATCCAAATGAAAAGATGTAATGATTATTATTGTAACTTCTTAAAAATAATGGCTTATTGGGAATCAAGATGAGGGAATAAAGGTATATTTTAACCATTGAGGTGTCACACTCAAAGCAGTAAAAGGGGGAAACCTATACTTGTTTTTTTTCTTTAGTGTTAAAATTTGTATTAATCTAGAATTTATAAAAAGAATGTGTAATGGAAAGGGAATATGACAGACCAAAGAACCAACTAAATTAATAAGTTAATATAGACTATTAAAAGCAAGGGGAGACATTGGTAACCTTTTTTATTATTATCATCATCATCATTATTATTATTATTAGGCAAACACATATTGTTTATCTTTATTTTTAAAATAAATATTAAAGGATTATATTTGAAATAATTGAAATGAAACAAAAAGATGTTTCGATTGAGATTAATGAAAGAGGCTAGAATTAATGTGTTTGTTTCTCTCCTTACTGAAAATTTGGATTGGAAAAAGTAATAATAGAATTAAGTACGCATATATGAACGTATAATTGCTGTCATATTTGTATGTAAAGGTGATGACCCGGAAATATGTTGTCTACTAAAAACAGATTTTTGTTTTTATGTGAAAAACTGAATAAAATTTGTTTGTTTGTTTTTTAAAAAGGTAATCATATATGATCTCCGGGCACTGCAATTGTAAATAAATACATGCCAATTGCAGAGTGTCCAAATTTTCTCTACATATCCATAGGGATGCTACAATGGTAATAAATGCAAAAAAAATGTTGTAAATCATTTTTTTTAGTGCTACTGTAACTTTGGTCCCTAAACAAATTGTTGTAAGTTGAGGACTACCTTTATGTAGCACCGGCACCAGCTGTTGGAATGTTTTCAAAAAAAATGTCTTCATTTCTGCATAAGATTACAATTACCTGACCTAAATTAAAAGCGAGGTTGTTGAGATCACAAGGTGATGAGAAGCAGAAGACAATCTAATACAGAATACTTTATTTTATGGGATATAGGACCTGATAAAACAGATGACAATAAGAAAAATAAGAAAAATAATACACTGGGACAAGTTTCCCCAGTTTGTTAACAGTGCAATGAGGTCCTTTTTATATAGCCAGGAGATAAATAAATCATGGGCTTTACACTGTACTAAGCTATAATGGAATATGTTTGATGTTGATATATTATAACATAACGTATGAACCTAGATATCATTTGGAGCTTAGCATTATTATTGTTGTAGATCTTCATTAAATTACGGCTGAATAGATGTCTCAACTAGCCTAATGTGTCTTTTTTTGACAGATATGCAGGAACACATCTATTAATAAAAGAAAAAAATTCCTACTGGACGTAACATGTTCTTCCCCTCCTTCGTTCTTGTTTTTCTTGACATATGCATGTCTAATGACCGTAGCTTCTTATACCCTTCACCAAAATCCCTGACAGATTTTGCCCTTTAAAAATTGATTTGATTATGTGCCATCAAGTTGGTTCCACTTAGAACCCGCATAGATAGATTTTCTATATGAAGATCTGTCACTAATCCAGTCCTTCAGTCTTCCACTGATGATCCCATCATTACTTCCAGTCCATCCACCTTGCTCCTGGTCATCCTCTTCTGTTTCTTTCCACCTTCCCCAACATTACAGCCTTCTTCAAGAGAGTCAGATCTTCACATAGTTGTCCAAAGTAGGATAATTTGAGTCTGGTCATTTGTGAGTTAAGTAGGACTTCTGGATTGATTTGTTCAATGACCTATTTGTTTGTTTTCCTGGCTAGCCACAGTATTTTCAGGAGGCTCCTTCAACACAAGCGTCCCAAAAGCATCACTCCTCTTCCTGGCCTGCTTTTTTTTAAAGTCCCAACTTTTGCTTTCCTATAATAACCAGAGGTTTGCACAATTCTGATCTTTGCAAGGATAGGCACATCACCTCCATTGAATATGTTTTCCAGTTAAAACAATTATTTAGCAAAGTATGTACTGAATCTTTTGTTGAAAGAGCATTTATAATCTTATGCTTTTTGCTTGAAATGCTGTTTCAGTGTCTGAAAATGAACAGTCTTTTTGTGATTGTCATACACACCAGTCAACACAGTCTTAAATGAAGAAGGGGTGTTTTCTTACTTATCATAAGAATTAATAAATCAGCAAGAGAGTTCCTTGTTCCAGAGCTTATTCTCTGAGTAATATTATCCATCTGCCAATTTTTGATTCATCAGACCCATAAACTGCTTTTTATAATGTCCAAGTTTGGAAGTAATTGTGAAACAAAATAAACATTTTTAGAGTCTCTGAGCAATTGAAAAATGAACGTTTCTACCCATACCTCCTTCAAAAATCCTTCTGTCATTCTTCACTGCTCTAACTGCTAGACATCAGACATAAGTCTAATCTACCAGAGTTTTCTTCTCTTGTAAAAGAACTGACGTCTAACACAGTCAACATTCCTCATCTCTTGGAACAACAGAATAGAATTCTGGGTAGAAATATCTTTAATTCAGAGAAGAAAGGAATTGCTCCCAGCTTGTTCTCATGCTGTGGCAATACTAGTCTGAGCATAGCAATCCACCTCTGAGATCACCTCCAAAAGGAACAGAGATGTGTGGCCATCTGGAGCCAGAGGAAGAACCTGTGGAAGAAATGAAGACTGGGTAGATCATGCTGGGGAAAGAAACACAAACCCATGACATAGATCCTGTAGGAGCAACGTTTCTTGCATGCTATGGGATCTGCAGCAATTTAAACGTAATATAGAACACTGAATTCATTAAACCGGATGCTTTCTTTAACTAGTGTAGAAAGTTAGCGCCCATCCCTCTCCTAGACCAATGAAATATTTTAGGAAATATTTTAAAAAGCAGAATATTTCCCCTAAAGAGAAATAGAAATCTTAAGGGAGACAGAAACTTAGCTCCCTGAAGCTCCCTGCCCCCAGCACATATGTGGTGGCCATTGAGGACTGGGCCAGCCTATCTACAAAACGAAAGACCCCAGCTCCAGTGTGATGGGATTAAGACATTACTCTCCAGGACATAATAGGATTATCTATCATCAGAGCTCACCACATGGCACAACCAAGCCCCTTCATTACATCCCCCAGCAAACTTCAACCAAACTCGATTCAGACAAACATGATTCCACATGGGAGTCTGACTGCAATCAATAGAATACATGCCCTTGCCACAGGAACAGGAAGCTCAAGTTCAAAGCCCAAGAGACGGTATAAATAACCCTCTCTCTCCATTCCCTGTGTTCAGCTGCATCAACACCATGTGCTTAATGGTTCTGCTCCATTAAACCATCTTTCCAATCAGCCTCCATGTTTCCAGTGTCTTTCTTCCCCCTTGGAACTGAGCCCAGATGGATATTTCTTCCAACACTAGCAAAAAAAAAAAAAGAACCAACCCAGACCCACATGATTTATTTCCCTGGCAAAAGATAAATTTCTAACTCTGGAACTACAAAAACAAGTTTGAATAAGCAGCATTCCTATGGAAACATTTCCAGCTCCACAACTTCTTTCAACTTGCCTTCTCCATGTGGATCCAAGATGCCATCTCTCCGTGAGTTGAGGCTCGTGGGGCTTTCCATATTTTCATAAGAGTCGGCATCTGCAGTGAGAAACTTGTTATAGATTAATTGAATTTCCAATTGCAGTTTATGACAATAAGATTTCTGGAACTGGGGAGAGTTGGAGATATCCAAGTGGTTCAGAGTTAGCCTCCCCCCCACCCCACCCCGTCCTGTCTTTAATACTGTACTGGCCGCTCCAAGTACAGTGGTATCTTGGTACTTGGCTGCTTTAAAATTCATTGAATTTGGTTCTTGACCCATTTTGATGTGAAAATGTTGTCCCAATACTTGGCCTCTTTTAGTGACGCGCTGCTATAGGAAGAGGCAACTGTGGAGAACAGACAGGAAGTCAGTCATGCTGTGAAGATCAACTTACATTTGTTTAGTGACCATTTGAAGTTATAACTCCACTGAAAAAAAGTATGTTATGACTGTTTTTCACACATATAACCATGGCAGCATCCCCTAGTTGTGTAATCAAAATTTGGATGCTTGGCAACTAGCATGTATTTATGATGGACATTTATACAATGTCCTGGGGTTATGGGGTTATCTTTTGTGATCTTCTGACAAACAGAGTCAATGGGGAAGCCAGATTCACTTAATAACCATGTTACTAACTTAACAACAGCAATGTTTCACTTAACAACTGTGGCAAGGAAGTTCGTAAAATGGGGCAAAATTTATTCAGCAACTGTCTTGCTTGCTTAGCCATAGAAATTTTGGATTCAATTGTGGTTGTAAATCAAGGACTAGATGTAGGCAAGAAACTATTGTGAAACATACACAAAGAAAAGTTCTGCCAGAGAAAAGAGAATCAGATATAACAAGCACAGACTATATAGAAATTAGAAACAAGTCTCTTTGTTCCATACTTTTAGTCTTGGTCAAGTTCCTATGGAAAGAAGCAAGTTAAAAATAAGTATGTTTGGTCAAGGACAAGATTGGGGTTTTCCCCCCTAAATCAGCTATTATTCCTAAATAAGGAAACCAGGAAGATGACATACGGTAATTAGTTTGACAAATGTGCTTGTTTGCATGCAAATGTTTTCTCTGCTTCAGATAAAATATTCTATGTTTGTAGATCAATAAAACCTCAAGGCACATTTCAGCAGCTGTTGATTTGATTGCATTTGCCAAAAGAGAAAGTTTTCCTCCATCTGCCACATAATTTTAAATGCAAAAGAGCCCCTCTTAAGAAAAAAGTCACCCATTGTAATTCATTGCAATACTATGGCTTTGGAAAACATCCCTCCCTTTCTGTTGCTTGTCCTTAAACTGCAGAAGAATACTTCCTGAGTTTGGTTCCAGCATCTACTGGAAGTAGCTTTAAATTATTTGAATATGAAAAATAACTATTTTGCTTATTGGGTTTTTAAAATCTTGCCTCTTATTCAAGGGTTTAAGATGCTATGCGCAGCACTTCCCTCCCCCACCCCCCCAAAAAAACAACTTTGTGAGATAGATTGGATTGAGACAGTGGTGGGATTGAATTTTTTTTACTACCGGTTCTGTGGGCATGGCTTGGTGGGGACGGCTTGGAAGGTGTGGCAGGGGAAGGATACTATAAAATCCCATTCCCTCCCCACCCCACTAACCTACTTTCCAGCTCTGTTCTCCTATGCAGGGCAACCAAAGAAGATTCAGCCGATTAGCTGGGACTTGAGAGGCAGAGAATAGATGGGGACAGGGGCAATCAAAGGTGATATATGCCAGTTCTCTGAATTACTCAAAATTTCCACTACCGGTTCTCCAGAACTGGTCAGAACCTGCTAAATACCACCTTGGGTTGAGAATGAATGATTGGCTTAAAGTCATCTAGTAACCTTTCATGGCTGATGACCAACTTGAACCTCAGTTTCCCAAATCCTAGTCTAATGCCTTAACCATTATCACAAAGTGGACAACCTTGTTTGTTAGCAATCCATTCTCAGATTCTGTGAAAGTAGTCCTTGAAGTTTCTTCTTCTAAGTTCCTGCAACCAACATCCTTCCTAGAGAATCCAGGAGTTTTGATACTCACCCTCTTCATTGCTTGTGTTGGTATGCAGGTAAAACAGCTTGCTAGCAGTGGGGCATAAGGATCCATTCATCTCTTCATAGGACTGAGACCCTGATGAACAAAGCAGGGACTTCTCAAAATAGGGCTATGTTAATTACTCCTGATACTATTTGTCTGGTAAATACTATCACCCTTCAGCCACGCCTTCCACTGTATCTTGAAGGGAGGTTTTGCAAGCATCCTGTTGAACATCTTATCCGTCCCTTGGTCCAATGGAGGACATCGTTTACTATGTTTCCCCAGTGCCCCATTTGTATTGGGATTAGGGCCAAATGATTGACAGTAGATCAATTCAAGGGTTCAGACCTTGAATAGTTCAATTATATTCTTTCAAAATGTTTCTAACTCTTAGCATTCAGCTTGCTACTGTTGCTCTGCTGTCATTTAATCTCAAAAAGAATTTTGTAAAGTAATAAATCTGTCCTAAATAAATCTCATTTTGAGTTCTTTGTATCTAACACTTTTTAATTATTCTATTTTATTTTATTGTGATTCGGTTTATTGTAATTAGTGCTATTGCATTGTTATCACCTATAGATAGAACAAATAAATTTATTGAGGTTATCCACAATTCTGCATGACAACCTAATCTGTTTGTTTTCCATCCTGAGAATATAGTTGCCAAGCAGCTCATAATTGCCAAGCAGCCCATTGTTGCCAAGCAGCCCAAGGATTGTTGTAAAGGGCAGTAATTAGCTCTTGGAGGGGAATGACCATGCCAGCTGTTGTAGCCAATTGGAACTGGCAATAGAACGACATTAAAATAAATCAGAGTACAGGTAGTCCTCAACTTATGACCACAATTGAGCCCCAAATTTCTTTTGCGAAGTGAGACATTTGTTAAATGAGTTTTGCTCCATTTTACAACCTTTCTTGCCATAGTTGTTATGTGAATCACTGCGGTTGTTTAGTTAGTAACATGGTTGTTAAGCGAATCGGATTTCCCCATTGACTTCGCTTGTCAGAAAGGTTGCAAAGGTGATCACATAACCCTGGGACGTTGCAAACGTCATAAATATGAGTCAGTTGCCAAGCATCTGAATTTTGATCACATGGCCGTGGGGGTGCTGCATAGTATGAAAAACGATCATAAGCCACTTTTTCAATGACTTTTTCAATGTAAATTTGAACTGTGACTAAATGAACTGTTGTAAATCGTGGACTACCTGTGTAGAATATCTGCTCCAAGGGATTAAAACAGTCTTGGATAGATGCAGGATGGATGCAAAGCTTCAAAACATGGGAGGTGTAGGGAATTCATGTCAGCATTAAGAAATGATAGGTAATTTTTTACTTATGGCCATTTGTTTAGCAACTGTCAAAAGTTATGATGATGCTGAAAAAAGTTATTACCAGTCCTCACACTTACAACTATTGCAGCATATGACCATCTTTTCAACTGGCTTCCAACAAGCAAAGCCAATGGGAAAGCTGGCAGAGAAGGTTGTAAGTCATAGTCACGTGGTGTCTCACTTAATGACTGTGGCAAAAAAGACTAAAATCGGATGCGGTCACATGATGCCTCACTTAACACTCATTCAAGAAATTTCTTCATCCCTATTGTGGTCTTAAGTTGAGGACTACCTGTATGGGTAATCCATAGTAGGAATAGGGCAAGATTAGAGGGCTTCAGATGATGCATACAAAATACATTATGCTCAGTTTCCTTTCCATAGAGGCTTTCAAAATGCAAATGTATTTTTCATGCATTTCAAATTACATATGCAGGAAGGAAGTTTTAAAAATAAAAAGATGGTAATGCTATACATCAATCTGGTAGGTAGGAGCAGAGACCCAGGAGAAGTTTGAATATTTCGTGGTTTTACTTACCTGTAGAAGGTTCGCTGTCTCCGTCCTGCCTGTCCTTATGGATGTCCAGAGCCAGCTGGAAGCGTAAACCTGGAAGCAGAGATGGATACCAATAGCTAAATGGCATTTTATACAGCATTTACAGTAATATAATATAAATTCTTAAAAGCAGAGATTTCCTGTCTAGTAATCTTTATACTGAGCAGCCCAAAGCATCCAAGATTTCCACAAACGAGGTACTATATAAAAACAATGCAACTTAACTAGTTGTGTTCTCCAGAACTAGCATAAATAGACTGCCTCTTACACAAGACTTAATTGTATCATCTCTAAGTAGCAGCCAGTTTCTAATCATTATACTTTGTGTATTTAATATTGATAAAACCCCATTTGGAATCACTGTGATGTGGTGATTTCAGCTTACCAATTATATATATCAGACCTCTATCTTGTTTTACCACTCTAACAAATCTCAACTTCCAACTGCACTGATTTGATGGAATTTCCTTAAATAAATAAGATATAAAATAAAGGTAGCCCTAGACTTACCACCACAATTGAGCCCAAAATTTCTGTTGTTAAGTGAGACATTTGTTAAGTGAATTTTGCCCCATTTTATTACCTTTCTTGCCTCAGTTGTTAAATGAATCTGGCTTCCCCGTTGACTTTGCTTGTCAGAATGTTGCAAATGGGGATCTATTCTATTCTATTCTATTCTATTCTATTCTATTCTATTCTATTCTATCCTTCTACCTTACCCTACCACATCCTATCCTATCCTTACCTATCCTATCCACTGCAGCAATTTGCTTACCTGCAGAAAAGATCATCAATTGGGTGTGACTCATTTAGCAAGTGCCTCACTTAGCAGTGGAAATTTTGGTCCCATTGTGGTTGTAACTTGAAGACTATCTGTAATAGTAATAATAAATATGCCTTCTAGAAATAAGTTGGCTTTTGTTGATGAAGAAAGATTGGAGATAACACATTCTGGATTTGGTTGGGGTTTTTTTTAGTCTCTATTTCATACCTGCTATGAGTCGTGCTGTACCAGAGTTCATAGGACACTCTTCTTCCAAATTTATATAGTTTTCATTGTCTGTTAAATAAATACAGTAGATTATCACCAGCAACTCCATGATTCAATAACTTTGTCAGTATCTTACGGAGTCAATTGTTGTTATGGGAAATACCCTGAAAGTTCTCATAAGACATAGAAGGTCACTTGATAATGAGAGGAGCGGCATATAAATTTAATAAATAACTAAAACATTAAGAAGGAAAAGGAAGGAAAGCAATGTTCCTGTACACGTGAAACTTGAAAAATTAGAATATCGTGCAAAAGTTCATTTATTTCAGTAATGCAACTTAAAAGGTGAAACTAATATATGAGATAGACTCATTACATGCAAAGCAAGATAGTTCAAGCTGTGATTTGTCATAATTGTGATGATTATGGCTTACAGCTCATGAAAACCCCAAATCCACAATCTCGGAAAATTAGAATATTATATGCAGTCAATTAAACAAGGATTGTACATAGAGCAATATTGGACCTCTGAAAAGTATAAGTATGCATATGTACTCAGTACTTGGTTTGGGCCCCTTTTGCAGCAATTACTGCCTCAATGCGGCGTGGCATGGAAGCTACCAGCCTGTGACACTACTGAGGTGTTATGGAAGACCAGGATGCTTCAATAGTGGCCTTCAGCTCTTCTGCATTGTTCGGTCTCATGTCTCTCATCTTTCTCTTGGCAATGCCCCATAGATTTTCTATGGGGTTCAGGTCAGGTGAGTTTGCTGGCCAATCAAGCACAGTAATCCCACAGTCATTGAACCAGGTTTTAGTGCTTTGGGCAGTGTGGGCAGGTGCCAAGTCCTGCTGGAAAATGAAGTCAGCATCCCCATAAAGCTCGTCTCTGGAAGGAAGCATGAAGTGCTCCAAAATCTCCTGGTAGACGGCTGCGTTGACCCTGGACTTAATGAAGCACAGTGGACCAACACCAGCAGATGACATGGCTCCCCAAATCAACACAGACTGTGGAAATATCACACTGGACTTCAAGCATCTTGCAGTGTGTGCCTCTCCATTCTTCCTCCAGACTCTGGGTCCTTGGTTTCCAAATGAGATGCAAAAGTTTGCTCTCATCAGAAAAGAGGACTTTGGACCACTGAGCAACAGACTAGTTTTGTTTTTCTGTAACCCAGGTAAGACGCTTCTGACGTTGTTTGTTGTTCAGGAGCAGCTTGACAAGAAGAATACGACATTTGAAGCCCATGTCCAGGATCTGTCTGGTGTGGTGGCTCTTGATGCACTGACTCCAGCCTCAGTCCATTCCTTGTGAAAGTCCCCAACACTTTTGAATGGCCTTTTCTTGACAATCCTCTCCAGGCTGCGGTCATCCCTGCTGCTTGTGCACCTTTTTCTTCCACACTTTTCCCTTCCACATAACTTTCTATTAATGTGCTTTGATACAGCACTTTGGGAACATCCAACTTCTTTTGCAATTACCTTTTGAGGCTTTCCCTCCTTATGGAGGATGTCAATGATGGGTTTCTGCACAACTGTCAGGTCAGCGGTCTTTCCCATGATTGTGATTCATACTGAACCAGACTGAGAGACTATTTAAAGGCTCAGGAACCCTTTGCAGGTGTTATGGCTTAATTAGCTGATTAGAGTGGGACACTTTGAGCCTAGAATATTGAACCTTTTCACAATATTCTAATTTTCTGAGATTGTGGATTTGGGGTTTTCATGAGCTGTAAGCCATAATCATCTCAACAATGACACATCACGGCTTGAACTATCTTGCTTTGCATGTAAGGAGTCTATCTCATATATTAGGTTCACCTTTTAAGTTGCATTACTGAAATAAATGAACTTTTGCACGATATTCTAATTTTTTGAGTTTCACCTGTAGTAATGGGATGCTTCAAAATCTGCAGTTGCCACAATGATGTGATATGAAGACTGGGGGTCCTTGGCACAAGGTTTTGCAACCAGGAGAACTAGTGCTAAAGTATCTTTACAAATTTGAAAATCAATACAGTTGATACATTTGTTAATTTCAAAATTCTACAGACATCTTTGTTTAAACTACTTTTGTTTAAAAATAATCTGGATTATAATAAAGAACAAGATTAAGCATGTTAGACCGGGGCGGGGGGGGGGGAATATATCCACAATATGACAATGTCTACTTGGAATAGAGTACTGTACTTCTAACTGTCTGTGAAGATTCTCAGTCATCCAGGTCATAATTTTATCAAAAGTGGTTTTTATTTTTGAAAAGGCAACTGGGTTGATTATTTTTGAGAAAAAGAAGATGTTTCACTTCCTATCCTGTAAGCTTCATCAGTTGCATTGGATGATGTAGGAGAGGGAAAGACAGTTATTGACAATTGAGTTGGTGGGAGGGAGAATGATAAGCTCTGACAGGATGGTGGTGGTGGGAGAATAGAAAGATTGTGTGTCTTCTTTTTACTCAAAAAATTAGTCTAGTTGCCTTTTCATAAATAAAACCCAATTTAGATTTACTTCTAGCTGTTCCTAACTAACATGGGGTTGCAGTACAGTACACTTCATATTACCTCTAGCTAAAATACCTGGATATGTGCAAAGATACATTTCAATATATGAAGAACACTAGTTTCAAAACCCAGTTGGCTTTCCTTTATATTAGTATTTCTCAACTTTGGCAACATTAAGATTTATGGATTTCAACTCCCAGAATTTCCCAGTTAGCATGCTGATTTGAGAATTTGGGGGATCAAATTCTCCACATCTTAAAATTGACAAGTTCTAGAAACCCTGATCTATATTAGCATTATGCTTTTCCTTTTAACTTCCATATCAAATCCAGATACTACCTTCAGCAATGGGGTCTTGGTCTTGGGTCACATTTTCAAGGACCTGCTCGGTTTTGTTGGAGTACCATGAGTCAGCTATGGGACATAAGAAAGCAATAATTAAGAATATACTAGCTGTATCTTATCATGACACCTGCCTTCCTCATTTTATCAAGACCCCCATATACTTTTCAATACCTGAGTTCCCGTTGTAAAGATCAAACTTCACCTTGTCCTTGTTATTTTCGTAAATGAGCACATCTATGATAGAAGAACATCTGTCATTAAAAAAGAGGAAGTAAAGGATGGTTGTCATTGCTAATCCACATGCTTTGCATACTGTATGTGAAACATATCTGGGGAAGAAGATCTTTCTGAGATCTTGACAAGCTGTGGACCACTCTTGAAACAATGGTTTGAAGGACCTCACTAAGGCACAAACTTGCTCTGGCAACATGTATTTTCTGTTGTGTCTTTGTGATGAGGTCTTCATCTTATGCACAGTCCATGAATGAGTCATGCATAAGGCATCTTTAGTTGACTGATGTTAAAATATTATTCCCCCTCTCCTTGTTCCAACACTAAAAGTAGTCTCAAGGCATGTAAGTTCTATTAGATTTTGTTACCTATTTCTTTGGAGGGGAATCAAGCCAATTACTCTCTCAGTGATTTGACAGGATAGGGTTGATAAGAAAAGAAAATTTCATCCTGGTGCTTTTCTCATATTCAAAGATAGGTGGATGGTACTGGAAACTCAGTAGCAAAGAACAATTGTAAAATGTTATCTCTAAAATTGTTTGATTATTATATGCCATCAAGTTGGTGTCAAATCTTATTGACCACATAGATAGATTTTCTCTAGGACAAATCTGTCTCCAATCTATTATTTCATATCTTCCATGTTGATGTTAATCCTCATCTCTTTCCTTCCACTTTTCCTAGCGTTATACTTCTTTAGAAAGCTAGATCTTTGCTTTTTGTGCCTAATGTGAGTTTAGATATTTGTTCAAGTGAGAACTCTAGGTTGATTTGTTCAGTGATCTACTGTACGCATGGTCCATTTTAGGAATTCTGTGCGTTGGTCAGGAGATCTGGACGTTACCATGCACGGGGTAGACTCAACTAGAAGTGCCAATAGTAGAGACTGCAAGATCTGGACATAAGGCATGCATATGTATCTAAGTTTGGATGAGTGCAAGTGGATTTCTTAAGATGTTGGTTGGTCATTTGTTCAGTTCAGAATAGACAGTTCAGAGTATAGATCTTCAGTTTCTGATAAGCAAAGTCAATGGGAAAGTCATATTCACTTAACACCTTTGATACTAACTTAACTGTAGTGATTCATTTAATTATTGTGGAAAGAAAGGTCATAAAATGGAGCAAAATTCACTTAACAAATGTCTTGCTTTGCAACAGAAATTTTGGGCTCAATTGTGGTTGTAAGTCAAGGACTACCCATAATGTCAGATGAATTGGTAGATGCGGATATGCCCTCTTCCTTTTCCTGAGCATCCTTTGAAAAGTTTAAATATGGCATCTTCATTCATCTCCTAAAATGCAGCCTTTTCTTAGTACATGCTCTCAATTTTTGGTGGGGTTTCAGTTTGCCTCCTATTAGTTCACCCACTTCCAGTGCCCACTAATTGACCTCTATTATTAATCCATTTTTCCAGGTCAGGGCTTTCCAATCTGTGGACTTTAATCCATTCCTTTATCTCAGCATTGTTTCAAGTACAGGGTAGCCTCCTTACTCCACTATCTGGCTTGTTCTGTTTAGACTTTCAGATAAATGTGCTGAAGGCATATAGAAGGAGTTAGAGATTAAAAAACTGGTATTATGAATTTTGTCTCCGCCTGTACCTATCATTGAATAACTGGCCTGTGATTTTCAATGATTTTGTGTTGTAGATAAACATCTGAGAGAGTTTGGTATACAGGTATCCTTGACATGACTATAATTGGGGCCAGAATTTTGGTTGATAACCAAGATGGATGTTAAGTGGAATGATGGGCTGTCCTCTAAATCAAAGCAAGGTTACGGCATCACTTGAAAGGAGACAGGAAGCCTGTAATTTGGAGTCTGGCATGAACAAAGAATGCTCATTCACAGTGGTAACAATTCGGGGTGCTTAGAAAGCTGATAAAAAGAGTTAGACATCTTGCATAGTTCTGCTAGAAAATATGAAATAGGGATGGCCTGGAGCAAATACAATGTGTATTAGATGACTCCTGCAGCATTCATCAGCCAAGACTTAGGAATAGGGACAGCTACAGGCCAATAAGACAATTGTTAGACCACTACTAAAACATTTATTAGATTATTTGTTTAAATATATCTCGCCTTCTGCTTTAGTGAAATTGTATAAAGCTTTCTTAATCCTTTGTTCTGGAATTTTGCTGGCAGGGACACCTTTTGTGCAAGCATTTCAATAAAAGGAAGCAAAACCTGCACCTCATGTCTGGTGTTCTTCAATGGACTTGGCATCAGTGTGCTGTCCAGCCAGTGTATGGGAATTGGATAGTTAGGTAGCAATTGTGAGCTGTCCCCTTAAGGGAATGCATCATGGTAAATGTAGTTAAGGTATCCTGGGAAATGTAGTCCATATCACGCAACCACATCTGTAATCCTGGTTGGTCACTAAATTGAGCCTCGAGGGGTTGGGGGAGGTTTCCTCTCTTGGCTGAACTCACAGACTCGTGGTAACTGTTCTATATCTACCGCTACGAGATGAGAGAAAAAGGATAGCAGATAAGCATCTTTTTACCTACAAGACAGATATGCAAAGGATTTGTCATTAAAGAAGAACTTTGTCACAAATGTGAGTTATGAGGATACCTGATGAACCAATAAAAGTACTTTGTTATGGATGTTTTATGGAGTTAATCTATCTGCATCTGTACTGAACAACAATCACTCACTGAACAACTGCACTGGGTTTGCAGCGAAATCACTGACCCAATGAAAAGAGTTGCTAAGGGAGTACCAATACAGCTACAAGTGTTGTGAATCCAAACACCTGTCCAAGTACTGCACAGCCAAGGTGCAATGCGACTTATGCAATAGTGACCAGCACCCGACTGCGCTTCATCCAGACAGATCTACCTATGCAGACATCTCGTAGCCCTCCTTTGAACAAGGAGCCTCAATGTGCTGCAGAAGCACAGTGGTGAGTGTCAATTGCACAGTGGTGTGCAGTGGCACACCAGCCCCTTGCGCATGTCATCAGATCTGCTTAGCCAAAGTCTACCCAGATAGATGCCCAGAAGAAGCAGTGAAGATGTATGTAATACTGGACCCTCAGAGTGATTGCTCACTAGCCAAGTCCAAATTCTTCGACCTCTTTGATGTTCAAAAGGAAGAAGTGCACTTCATGATATCGATGTGCACCACACCAAGACGCACGGTTGGGGAGAGAAGCTACTGGACTCTGTATAGAGTCATTAGATGGAAGTTCCCAGTTTCTACTGCCGCCCATGCTGGAATGGAACGGGATACCAGATGACTGCAGCCACATTGCAACACCAGAGGTAGCTAGCAGCATACCTCACCTGAAGCATATGGCTCATCTGTTTCCCGCCCTTGATCCTGAAGCCAATATTTTGGTCTTGCTGGGATTCGATGTCCCTGATGCCTTAGCGCAAACTGAAGTAGTCAGAGGCCCGAGATACTCACTCTTTGCCTTCAAGACAGACCTGGGTTGGGGAATCTCAGGAATTGTCAGTGTCGATCGGATGCAGGCCCCAACCCAGGCAAATGCCTTAGCACCATCCATTCCAACAGCCTTCCAATGCCCTTTAGCGCCATTGAAAACAAGAATGCCGTTCCAGACTAAAAGGCCACCGGTGATCAGTACACTTTCGCTAGGACACCCTAAACGGCCGCAAGCGACCACCAGACTTTCACCATTGCCACCAAGAGTACCTGTAAACCCTAAAAGGCCACCAGAGGTGACCAGCAGACTGGCACCAAGAGGTTGAACTTGAAGATTGAACCTCAAGCTTTGCATGCTTTGCTTTGTTTAATGCTTTATTTACTGTTTTTTTTACTGTTTACTGTTTTTCTTAGTTACATAGCTAACTGTTTATCTTAGTTATATAGTTATCTGCTATTCAGTTAGCATTACTGTCTACTGCTTATCTTAGTTTATTTTTTTTTTTCCTCTTCTTTTAACAGTGGAATTTATAATTCCAGGCGGGGAGTGTGCTGTCCAGCCAGTGTATGGGAATTGGATAGTTAGGTAGCAATTGTGAGCTGTCCCCTTAAGGGAATGCATCATGGTAAATGTAGTTAAGGTATCCTGGGAAATGTAGTCCATATCATGTGACCACATCTGTAATCCTGATTGGTCACTAAATTGAGCCTCAAGGGGTTGGGGGAGGTTTCCTCTCTTGGCTGAACTCACGGACTCGTGGTAACTGTTCTATTTCTACCGCTACGAGATGAGAGAAAAAGGATAGCAGATAACAATCTTTTTACCTACAAGACAGATATGCAAAGGATTTGTCATTAAAGAAGAACTTTGTCACAAATGTGAGTTATGAGGATACCTGATGAACCAATAAAAGTACTTTGTTATGGATGTTTTATGGAGTTAATATATCTGCATCTGTACAGGATACAGAATAATAAAAATATGGTTATTTGAAGTCCTGAAGCCCATCAGTATAAAGACAGTTAATTTGGATTTGTGATAAAGCAAAGCAATGTTGAAGCCAGGAGAGAATGTGGAATGCTAAGCTTTGTGCCTCAGTTTTAATTGTAGGGAGGGGCAAGAATACCCCCCTTCCCCTTTTACGCAAGAGACTTTTCAAATATCCTACGCTTTGGCTTTCAAAAGCAATCAAATTTGCCTCCTTCGATCCTTTTTTTTCCTATTCCTTTACTGATGCAGGATTCCTTTGTCTTCGTATCAAGCCAGGAAGGGGCGAAAGAAGTGCTGTGTCTCAAATTACAACTCCTAACTCAGAAAGAACCAATTTGTAAAAGAAAGGGAGGGGCCAAGTATATCTCATCCATCCCTGTATTCATCCAATTACAAACCCTTTCCAAATGCAATGAGAAAGTTTCAGAAATCTTGCTGGCATTTCTAGAAAGGAAAACTAACTTTGCCCTGCTCATTTCAACTTAAAGTCTTTGCATTTTTCCAGCTCAGAGGCAATAAGAGAAGCCTCTCCAGCTATTTTTACAACTACTCTGGCCGTTTTATTGGGGGTCATAATTCATTACTGACAGGCCATCTTCAAAGCAAAGAAGGCTAATCCTAGCAACGTTTTTAAAAGGAACAATTTCTCTTTCTGCTCAAAACCTTAAAATTTCTTCATGTTCCCCTATCTTTATTAAACAATTAAAAAAATACATATAACACTGCAAGCAAACCGTTGGAGTGTTGTATTCGATTGATTGGTTTTTCTTCCAGCAAGGAAACATAAGTTGATGACCCAAGCTCTGTAAAGGACCTGGGAATACTCACCTCTAATGATCTAAGTGCTAGAGCTCACTGCAACTACATAGCCAAAAAGGCATTAAGAGTTGTTAACCTAATCCTACGTTGCTTTTTCTCTGGTAATATCTCACTACTAACCAGAGCATACAAAACATTTGCTAGACCAATACTCGAATACAGTTCATCAGTCTGGAATCCTTATCACGTATGTGATATTAACACAATTGAGAAAGTCCAGAAGTATTTCACAAGAAGAGTTCTCCACTCTTCTACCCGTTATAGAATACCTTACGCCACCAGACTCGAAATTCTAAAACTAGAAAACCTCGAATTACGCCGTCTTCGGTCCGACCTAAGCATGGTATATAAAATCATACATTGCAATGTCCTACCTGTCAATGAATACTTCAGCTTTAACCATAACAACACAAGAGCACACAACAGATACAAACTCAAAGTAAACCGCACCAAACTTGATTGCAGGAAATACGACTTCAGCAATAGAGTGGTCAATGTCTGGAATTTCTACCCGACTCTGTAGTCTCTTCCCCAAACCCCAAAAACTTTAACCTTAGACTGTCTACTATTGACCTCACCCCTTTCCTAAGAGGTCTGTAGGGGGCGTGCATAAGCGCACCAACGTGCCTACCGTCCCTGTCCTATTGTTTCTCTTATTCTTTTATTTTTCTTATATGTACCCATTTCATATATTCACAACTATGTATACACTTGTACTTATTATCTTGTAAACAATTGACAAATCAAATAAATAAATAAAATAAATAAATAAATTCCTCTGGAGTTCACCCCCCCTATAGACTCAAGCAAACCATCCCACAGCACCATCTCATGGTCAGGAAGAAATTTCCCAGAGTTTACCAATACGTGCTTGCAATGATAATCCCTTTTTGTAATTATTGTGGACAATTTAATCAATTTAATTCAAATGTTCCAAGATTAACTGCAACCTAACAGACCTAAGCAAAGCAGCCCACAGCTACATCTGGGGTTCAAGGAGAAATTTCCCAGAGTTTGATTTTTTTTTTTACACAGTTTCTCAAATTTGACCAGAGTGTTTATCCAATGATAATTCCTTTTTGCAATTATTGTGGACAATTTATCAATTTAATTCAAGGTTCCAGGATTAACTGCAACCTAACATGGGCATAGCAACAGCGTCTTCCATGCATATTTCTGCGTTTAGCCATCCAGTCTTCTGACTTCGCTACGCAACCTCTACTGCCACCTTGTGGAGCAAGCGACACTAACAGGCATATTTTTGCATTTAGCTTCCAAGTCTTCAGACTTCGCTACGCATATTTCTGCGTTTAGCCCTCAAAGTCTCAGACTTTGCTATGCAACCTCTAGTTCCCCCTTGTATAGCAAGTACACATTGCACCCTAGAAACTGCTATACTGTGTGCTGTGCTAGCATCGCCCAGACTCTGCAACGCCACCTACGTGCTGAAGTATTAAATCCAGCAGCAATTCTACTTTCTGCTACCTGCTTTCAGCGCACCCTACAAAAAAAGGGAATTACATGGAAAATCACTAAATTTTCCAAAAGTCACTTTTTACCAATTTGAAACATGGCAACTGCTTCAGCCATGATCGATGTCCCTGAAGTACCAGAGGACTCGAACCCTCCACCCACCCTTGATGTGAACATGCAGCCTGGTTCCCAAAACCTAGTTTCAGATGTCCAAATCTCTATGGAAGCGGAGATACCTCTGAAAGCCTACGACCTCAGAAAGAGTAAGAAGCTTACAAAATCCAGGGAAGAACACTTGAGGAACGATTGGGAGAAGCAATATACACAGACTCCTGGGTGGAGCTTGAGAAGATCTGTGATGCCCCAAAACACAAGCTGCCCCCCGAGAAACTCCACACATTGCTAATTGATCTAGATGCTCTTCTCGCACGGTGGAGATGCAGCGAAGACAACCTCAAGTCCATCCAGTCAAGACTGGGTGACCCCAAACTCCTACAACATGTCCAACGCTTCGAGGAGTTTCACAAGGAATGTGAAGACTGTGTCGAGGAAAGCAAGACAGCCCTCCAGGCAGTGCTCCACAACGTGCTTCGGCAGGAAGTAGCATCAAGGGAGCAGGCCACATCTGACATAGCTCCTCGGTCACATGTGTCTTCTTCCTACCACTCTAAGAAACCCTCCTCCCTCCATCCCAAACTGGCTATATCGCAAGCAGGTTCCAGTGCCACACGCCAATTCTCTGCTGCCGGCTCTCACCATCCTTCCAGAGCATCCTCCCGTCGTAGCAGCGCATCTAAGGTCTCCAAAGCAGCAAGTTACGCCGAATGGGCTGCAGAAGCTGAAGTAGAAGCTGCAGTAGCAGACGTAGAGCTATGCACCACAGAGGAGGCAGCACAGCAGAAGGCGGCAGTAGCAGCTCAACAAGCAGAAATGGCCAAGGCCCAGGCCGAACAACAAGCAGAAATGGCCAAAGCCCAGGCCTACCAGCAGGCAGAATTGGCCAAAGTTCAGGCCCAATTGGAGTTAGCCAAACGGCAAAGAGATGCCACAACAAAGACGGCACAGCCGCAGCATGGCGGAAGATGGCCGACGACACCTCCCTCCAATTCAACCTCGAAGAGTTGGGAGAAGAGAGCCCAGATACACGGGTCAAAGCCTATGTGGATGAGCAGCACCCACTACAAAATGAGCAGATGGAACTGCCTCAGTTGCCTAGCAGTCTCCCACAACCGGGGAAGCACTGGGATGAATCTCAACCACAGACTCTACATGTCAGTTACGCAACTGACGTACGACCTAAAGTACAAGATTCACTTCCCACCAACAGCAAACCTTCCCCAACTGATGTTGTACATACTAAGGTCCGAGATTCTCTTCCCAGAACCAGCAACCCTACTCCAATGTCTCATGGCCTGCCAGGTGAGCAAATTAGCCCAACAGTGATCACGACGACTCCTCAACAAGTAGACATGCAACCGATGACACCTGCCACACTCAATCCACAGGCAGTACCATTCCAGCCACAATCTCCACACTACCCAAGCTCACAGGCACAACAAGATAACCGCAGCCAGCCTACACAGCAGCATGAAGCTCCACCATTGCCTCTGGAATGGCAGAATGACATCCTCCGTAAGCACTGGGAGAAAGGCTACAATCCATCATTGACATACAACTTGAACCTACCCTACGAGAATCCAAGGGAAGACCCCTCTATGTCAATGCCTCAACCCAACTCTACAGATGATGCAGACTACTGGAGAAAGTTGGCAGTAAGCACAGGAAAGCTAGATTTGGCCACTAACGTTGTATACAACTTCTCTGATGAGCCAGGTGGTGAATATCTCCTATGGAAGAAAGTTTTCCTGCACTCCATTCAGACTGCACGCCTGAAATCCAATGAAGTACTTATACATGACGTAGCTAGGGCTGCAGTCTGCCAGAGATATAAAGGCACTTTATGCCTCCCACTTAAACAACCCAGACGCTGCCCTACAGTTGTGATGGCAAAAACTCAACAATCTGTACAGCGCTGCCTCAGATGTACAATCAATGCTCCTGGATAGCCTCCACAGATTTCCTAAAATTCCTATTGGCAAGCCTCACCTGATCACAGAACTCTCTAATATAACTCATACAACTGAAAGTGGCACAACGGGATCCCAAGTTACCGGGACTCGCTTATCTTGACCAAGACGACATGCAAAACAAGTTCGTTCGAAAACTCCCGCAGGTGCTAATTGAACAGTGGCTCCAGATGTCCGACACCTTCATGGCCAAGGGTTGCCACAACTTTATATCCTTTACTATTCTCAAAAAATTTGTGGCCCACCAGGCAATAGTGTGCAACTCCTCCGAGGCCTGAGCACTCAGAGCTGTTAGCCCTCCTAATGAAAAATGATACAACAGCAACCATATATTGTCCACAGGCCCTATGCACTCTGCAAGGGAAAGACCCTTCATGGCTGTCCATAAGACAGAGGTACACTCCTCAGCTAACTCATCCCATCCAACCCAACTTAGATCTCCTACTCCAAAGAGAAAACAGTTTTGTCCTATGCACCACACTCATCACTCGCTGAACAATTGCACTGGGTTTGCAGTGAAATCACTGACCCAATGAAAAGAGTTGCTAAGGGAGTACCAATACAGCTACAAGTGTTGCGAATCCAAACACCCGTCCAAATATTGCACAGCTAAGGTGCAATGTGACTTATGCAATAGTGACCAGCACCCGACTGCGCTTCATCCAGACACTGATCCACCAATGCAGACATCTTGTAGCCCTCCTTTGAACAAGGAGCCTCAATGTGCTGCAGAAGCACACCCAGAGTCAGTGGTGAGTGTCAATTGCACAGCGGTGTGCAATGGCACACCAGCCCCTTGCACTTGTCGTCAGATCTGCTTAGCCAAAGTCTACCCAGATAGACGCCCAGAAGAAGCAGTGAAGATGTATGTAATACTGGACCCTCAGAGTGATTGCTCACTAGCCAAGTCCAAATTCTTCAACCTCTTTGATGTTCAAAAGGAAGAAGTGCACTTCATGATATCGATGTGCACCACACCAAGACGCACGGTTGGGGAGAGAAGCTACTGGATTCTGTATAGAGTCATTAGATGGAAGTTCCCAGTTTCTACCTCTGCCCGTGCTGGAATGGAACGGGATACCAGATGACCGCAGCCACATTGCAACACCAGAGGTAGCTAGCAGCATACCTCACCTGAAGCATATGGCTCATCTGTTTCCCGCCCTTGATCCTGAAGCCAAGATTTTGCTCTTGCTGGGATTCGATGTCCCTGACGCCTTAGTGCAAACTGAAGTAGTCAGAGGCCCGAGATACTCACCCTTTGCCTTCAAGACAGACCTGGGTTGGGGAATCTCAGAAATTGTCAGCGTCAATCGGATGCAGGCCCCAACCCAGGCAAATGCCTTAGCACCATCCATTCCAACAGCCTTCCAATGCCCTTTAGCGCCATTGAAAACAAGAATGCCGTTCCAGACTAAAAGGCCACCGGTGATCAGTACACTTTCGCTAGGACACCCTAAACAGCCGCAAGCAATCACCAGACTTTCACCATTGCCACCAAGAGTACCTGTAAACCCTAAAAGGCCACCAGAGGTGACCAGCAGACTTGCACCAAGAGGCTGAACTTGAAGATTGAACCTCAAGCTTTGCATGCTTTGCTTTGTTTGATGCTTTATTTACTGTTTTTTTTACTGTTTACTGTTTTTCTTAGTTACATAGCTAACTGTTTATCTTAGTTATATAGTTATCTGCTATTCAGTTAGCATTACTGTCTACTGCTTATCTTAGTTTATAGTTTTTTTCCCCTCTTCTTTTAACAGTGGAATTTACAATTCCAGGCGGGGAGTGTGCTGTCCAGCCAGTGTATGGGAATTGGATAGTTAGGTAGCAATTGTGAGCTGTCCCCTTAAGGGAATGCATCATGGTAAATGTAGTTAAGGTATCCTGGGAAATGTAGTCCATATCACGTGACCACATCTGTAATCCTGATTGGTCACTAAATTGAGCCTCGAGGGGTGGGGGGAGGTTTCCTCTCTTGGCTGAACTCACAGACTCGTGGTAACTGTTCTATATCTACCGCTACGAGATGAAAGAAAAAGGATAGCAGATAATCATCTTTTTACCTACAAGACAGATATGCAAAGGATTGTTCATTAAAGAAGAACTTTGTCACAATGTGAGTTATGAGGATACCTGATGAACCAGCTTTGTTATGGATGTTTTGTGGAGTTTATCTATCTGCATCTGTACAGAAAACAAATCTACCACTGTACAGAATACAGAACAATCAGGCTCAGACCCGAACTGGGAACAACAGATTGTATATAATTTTACACTTTTGGCCCCAATTGTTAAGTGAATCACTGCAGTTATTAAGTGAACCATGTGATTGTTGAGCAAATTCTGTCTTCCCACCATTGATTTTGCTTGTCATAAGCCAATTGAGATGGTCACAAATGGTGATCACATGATGTAGAATCACTGCAACCATCATAAATACATGCTGGTTGCCAAGCGCCCAAATTTTGATTGTATGACTGTGGGGATGTCAAAGTTGTAAGTCACTTTTTCAGTGCCATTGCAACCTTGAGTGATCACTAAACAAGTGATTGTACATTGAGGGCTACCTGTACAAAATTCAGAATCCCCCCTCTCACGCACACACAAGTGAATGTTTAACATTCTCCTTCAGTATTTGTTTTTCATCTACCTTTAAAAATTATAGGTCTCTGCCCACAAATCCAATAGGGTTCTGCTACTCCCCAGGTAACATTACTCATTCAAAGAGCTGCTGAAGAATGAAGGTTCAGGTGGCATCTGTACAAGATGGTCAAGCAAACCAAGCAGGACATCTGCACCCCACGGTCATGGCCAGTGTCTTGACTTCTTCAAAACTTTTCTGCACTTGCCCTGAGAAGTTCATCAGTTTCCTTCACAAAATGTAGGAAATCAATGAAGCAATCTGATGCAAACTTACTTAAAGAAAGCAAAACTTGTAAGAGAAATTGGTTTACCATTCAGAGCTACATCTCCTGGTTTCACTTCTTCTTGAGTATTTTCATAGTTTTCATCATCTGAAGCAAAACCAAACAAGATTAAAAAGGTTACAAGTAGTCCTTGCGATATGACAGGTCACCTACCGGCAGTTGGAACTGAGGACAAACCACCACCACCCAAACTACATTATGATCCCATTTCAAAGTTATGGCCACTGCACCAGCCTGTGGTCATTTGCCCTTATGATTGACCACAGGGATGCTGCAACATTATGCTGCCTGTCTCCTGAGGGGCACATGACATACATTTTGAGGGGCACATATCATGGATTTTGTAACTTTAAGTAACATAGATGCTTTGTATTTTAATTTGACGTATTTTCTGTTTTAAAATGATGTTTAGGCTCATGACAGACTGGAATGTAGGAAAACTTTTATCCTATGGTTGTAAGTTTTTAACATTCCTAAATTGAAAAGATAATATACTGAAGGATATTTGGAGACTATCTCCTGATAATTAAATGTTTCTTAGTGTCAACTAGGATTGGTTATATAACTTCAAACAAGCTTTATAATTGATTAACTGTGCAAGGAGGGATTACTCTTATCCTGTCCAACCAACTTTCCTTTCATTTTCTTTGTTGTGTTAACAATAAAAAGGAATGTAAAGTGGGTCTCCAGGTTCTCCTTTTTCATAGAGAGATCCCACTTTATCAGGGTACCCTAATAAACTGTTTTTAAATGATCTTCCGACTTGGTTGCTTATTGGGAAGATAAACCGAGGCAGAACCTAGGGCCAGATTTAGCTAAGATTTTCCTCATCCTGTCCTGCCTGGACCCTGCAGTCCTTGGCTTCCTCCCCATATATCTATACCATTCAAATTTTTTTACTACTGGGATTCAAATTTTTTTACTACTGGTTCTGTGGGCATGGCTTGGTGGGTGTGGCAGGGGAAGGATACTGTAAAATCTCCAGTCAGGGGTAGTATTTGCCGGTTCTTCAAACTACTCAAAATTTCCGCTACCAGTTCTCCAGAACTGGTCAGAACCTGCTGAATACCACCTCCGGCCTATACCTATCCCACATTTACCTTTTGACAATTCCCAGACTTCATGTTGGGGCAGTGGGACAAGATGGCAGCCATGGAGCAGAGGGTTCCATTTTGCTGCCTTAATGCAGTCCTCAAGTGTTGCAGAAGCTTTCTGCAGTTTTGGAAATTCCACAGCACTGTGCAGACTTTGTAAAGGCAGCAAAATTGAGCAATTTGTCCTTGAGTCACACAACAGCGACCCAGAAGTGGCTGCCCCACCCACTTTTTTCTCACTTTCACTATTATTTTCCTCTTCCACATTCTACTATGATGCTACCACTTGCCCACTTTAAAGCTTGGTAAAGAGGTGTGGTTTCCTTTGTTTTCTGGTTTTACCTATAACCCACCCCACATCCAATCCTATATATCTCAAGAGGTTAATTTTTTTCAGTTAAGAGATTAAGCTCTCAGTCAAGTGTGGTACATTTGGTGATCACCCTATATCTATGGCTTGAGAGCTAACTCTTGTGCTATCATTTCCTCCCCACCCCCCACTTGACCCATTTTAACTACCTGATTTCAGCTCAGTTTCACTATCAGGGCATTCATATACTTCTTCATCTGATGGAAAGAAAAGGGAGAAACGGTTATGTGCAATTCTTAGACTAGCCTTTTTCGATTGAGATCAGAAAATGATCAGAAAATTATCTGATTGACATCAGATAATCAAAATCACCATTAGTATCATTTATAAAGACTTAGTAAGGTCACACTGGGAGAAGGAGGCTTATACACAAATGTCAATTTTGGGCTCGACACACACCTGGAATACTGCACCCAGTTTTCATCACCACATTACAAAAAAAAATGTTGAAACTTTGGGAAAAGTGCAAAGAACAAATAGATTGATTGAAAACCTGGAGACCAAAATGTATGAAGAACGGTTGCAGGATTTGAATTTGGCTAGTCTAGAGAAAGAAAAACTAGAGGGGACATGACAGCAGTATTCCAGAATTTGAGGGGCTGTCACAAAGAGGAGGAAGTCAACTTATTTTCCAAAGCACCAGAGGGCAGGACAAAAAACAATGGATGGAAACTAATCAAGGAAAGAACCCTCTTATAATCATTAACAGCCTTAGCAAGTGTGGCAGTAGCATAGAATATCTTCATGCCTTGTGCCACCAGTAGTGTTAATAGCATGCTTTGTGCAGCAATTAGGCAACCTGGAATTAAGGAGAAACTTCCTGACAGTAAGAACAAGTTGTGGGTACTTCATCGCTAGCGGTTTTTAAAAAGAGACTGGACAGCTACTTGTCTGAAATGATATAGGATCTCTTGCTTGAGCAGGGGGCTGGACTAGAAGACCTCCAAGGTCCCTTCCAGCTATATTCTGATTGATTGACATAAGGCATGGCTTCTCAGACTTCAAGTGTCAAGCAACTGGATATTCTCAAGCAACTTGCAAGGGAACACCCATGAGGCTTGTACATAGCAAGGAGCAAAGCCACAAGTGGGAGTGTTGTCTGTGTTAAGTTTGGCGAATAAGGAGACCAGACATCTGACCAGTGACTTCAACTCTTTAATAATAACAGTAATAGAATAGAACAGAGCAAACTCTATGGGCAGCAGTAACCCTTTTATAGGGTTGGCTGCTGCCCTATTAACCAATAGTCTTTGCGATAAGTTCAAATAATAACCAATAATAAGTGGCCTCATCCTGACCAATCCTCGTTCGTTGTTTGAGGACCAATCAGATGTGCAGGCCTTCAAAACCTACTTTGCATTTTATATTAGTTACTTTATTGATTCATAACAGTCTGGAACATTTGTCAGTCACAAATACTTTTTATTATTTGTGTATTTATGATGGTATTTGGTTCTGTTCATGGGAAGTAGTCACACTAATTGATTAATTAAATAACATAGTGCATTATGATTGCTAAGATTGAGAATGCTCTTTTTAAGGCACTGGCCTCCTACATTAAAAAGAGACTGCATGATACTATAGGTAGTCCTTGATTTTTGACCACAATAGGGACTGGAAAGTTCATTGTTAAGTGTGCAATTGTTAAGCAAGCCATCATGTGATCATATCTGATTTTACCTGGGTTTTTTTTTTTTTTTTTGCTTCTTGGTTTATACCACTTTGAAGTAAAGTAAGAAAAGTTTACTTTGTTAAATGTGCTTTCATTTCAACGAACCCTTTTCTATGAGTGCGTGAACAGAAGATGTTGTAGATCATTCATAGTGAAATAACTTTGTCTAATCATGCAAAAAGAGGAAGAGTTAAAGTTATTTACTTCCTCTACCTTCATCTGTGTTGCTTATGTCAAAAAAGGTGCATAGCTGAATCAGTTTGTTGCACAAAGCATGCTATTAACACTACTGGTGGCACAAGGCATGAAGATATTCTGTGCTACTACCATACTTACAATAGCTGCTAGTAATTATAAGAGGGTTTTAACCTTGTGAAGTTGCAGAATCTGGAAGAAGAGAAGGAGATGGAGATGGAGAAGGAGAAAGAAGAGGAGAAGGATCCACAAAATGGTGCCCCACGCTGAAAGGTGGAGGGGCCTCTTTTGTTCATTCTTCAAACAGCTTTACCCATTTCCTGTGCTCGGGTGTTTTTTTTTTTGCATCCTGCCTTCATTTAAGGAAGCCTTAGTAGTCACAGGTGACTGTGACTAATGTTGCTTTACAATAACAGGAAAAGTTATAAATAAATACCTAGGAACATTTAGAAGATGTCTAAACACCATAAATTACAGTCTTGTTCATGCAGGCCCTTGTTCATGCAGTAAGAGTTATGAAACTATTTTGGGGATTGGGCTGCGTTAACTTCATATCTGAAAAATGTTTACTTTTTCAGAACTCTTCAGCTAGAGATTCCCATCCTGTGCTTTGTATCGTTGGCTTCACACCCTCAGAAATTAAACCAAAATTAAACTACTAGCTACCCAAAGCCAGATCTTTAAAAGCAATTCACAGGATGTAGATAAAATGTGATGTCTCTCAGGGTGCAAAGAGAAAATATCTACTGCAAACTCTACATAGATGATAGGAAGGGCATCTGGCCAGTAAATGCTCAGCTCTTCCCTGTCGCCCCAACCCCATCCCAAATCAAGGGTTTACAAGTTCGTAAAAAGAAAAAGAGAGAGGGGGAGAGAAAACACAATGTTTATAATGGTACCTTATCTGATTGTATAATATTATTTCCTATTACTGTAACATTACTCCAGTCATAATCAGTCTTTGCTCTTTACACCATTTTTATTATTGGCACACTTCCCCTGTTACAAATTTCACACACAGTACCTAATTCTATGCTCTGCCTATATGTACCTACCTTCCAAATTGAGGGTATCAGGCAAGATTTTTCCTTTCTGCAGTAACCTTTGGCCACGTTGTGCACACATATCTGGCGGCATGTTTTCATAGGCATCAACTTGCTCTATGACTTAAGAGACAAGAAGCACATTGCATCAAAATATCTCTTCCAGAGGAGAATTCTTTAAAGCCAAATAAAGATAGAAGGTGCATTTGAAAATGTACCTTCTTTTGCCATTAAGAAATTTGTAATCTTTCAAGATGCTACAAGTCTGGCACTTGCTTCACACTATATCAATCCCACTTGCCACTGCAGCAGTTTCAAGAATCTGACCAAATATTCATAGAAAACAACTTCTGCTCATGAGAAAAATGTTCTGGTTTTGTCAAGAGAATGTTCCAGAACTTATACATAGGCATTGCCCTTATTATATTACCCTCACAAAGAAGAGGGTAGCAACCTATCCTCCAACAGGACAGGACAGGACAAGAAGTAATGAGTAGAAGATCATTAAAGAAAGATACAACCTAGAACTAAGGAGAAATTTCCCGAGAGTCAGAACAATTAATCAGTGGGACAGCTTGCCTCCAGAAGAATAAATGCTCCTGCTGCAAGGCTGCCTTATTCATGATGTAGCTGTTGATGCAGGGTGCTTTCAAACCCAGCAGCAATCAAATGCTGTATTATTGTTATTATTATTGATCATCAGTCAGCCAGCCAGATATTCAGACTGGACTTGGCACTTTTGTCTACCTATCAAATCCTTACGAAGGACCTGGAATAGGCAAATCTGGATGCTTGATGGTGTTACAGATACCATTGCAGGATGGAAGCTGTTCCAAGTAAAGCTACCTTCTGCAATTGACTGATGGCAAATTTGTCAATAGCTATGGTGGTGCTCCAGTTGTTTTGGGACTGCACCTAAGGTGGGTACTATTGGTACTACCCTTGCTTCCCTTTGCCATAGTCATTCTATTTCAATTTGCAGGTCTTTGTATTTCGTGATCTTCTCCAGTTCTTCCTCTTCTATTCTGCTGTCTCCAGGCACTGCCACATCCACTATCCAGAGTTTTTTCTCTTTCTTATCGACAACTGTTGTTGTTGCTGCTGCTGCTGCTGCTGTTATTCAATTACTTTGCATATTTATTGAGAGCTTTTGTACTGGAGACAAATTCCACACTTGGCCAAACAAAGTATTCTGTTCTGTTGTGTTCTGTTCTACACTTCCAGTCCCTATTTCAGGGGTGGGATTCTACCAGTTCACACCTATTCCGGTTGTTAACATTCTAAGCAGTTTGGAGAACCGGTTGTTAAGAAGAAATTACTGGCCTAATCCTGTAAGGAAGGCAGGAAGGAAACATTTTGGTGTTGCTTACAAAAACTGCCTCTCCGTTAACCCTTATTACATTCTTGGCTGGACTAGACTTCCTGTCTCAGGAATATCTCTGGAGTTTTTTTTCCCTCCTTTGCTGGTACTTTGCTTGTGTGGAGTGACCATTCAAAGTTACAATGGCACCGAAAAAAGTGATTTATGACTATTTTTCACACTTACGACTGTTGCAGCATGAAGAGGCTAGGGGAGGAGATGCGTGCCTCGATGTGAGTGATATTGAGTTGGCCACACCCAGCCAATAACATGACCACCAAGGCATGTCCACCCAGTCACATGACCACCAAGCCACGCCCACCACCCAAGCCACGCCCACAGAACTGGTTGTTAAAAAATTTGAATCCCACCCCTGCCCTATTCTAACTCAGCAGGAGGAACAGGGGTTCTGTTTGTGCATGAAGCAAAGAGGGAGGAAAGAGGCAAAGTGGGGGGAACCTACTTTGGGCCAGTACTTGGCAGCTGAAAACCCACATGTGTCTGCTGTCAGTTCTCTGACTGTATGAAGTGATTGCTTCAGGGGATTAGGTAATAGGGGAACTAAGGGAAACAGAACAATTCTCCCAGGCCCCGGGACTCATTTTCTGCCACAGAAGGCCTACTATAAAGCTATTTCTCCTTGCTTTCCTTTCATGGAAAATAAAGCAGTCAAAGCAGCTATACAGTCAGGAGGAGTCTGCAGTAAGACTACCCCCAGCTTCAACAGCAAAGGCCTGGGTAGCTTGATTGCAAAATTGCCTCAGTTTCAAATTTTTAATCTGGCATCAAGAAAACTACTACAATATGTGGAAATATAGCTTGTGTGCGCACATGCACATGTGTGCAAACACACACACAGGAATACAAAGATGACGGGAGAGGGAATTTCGCATTTCATTCTGTTCCATCCAATACTATTTCCTTCTGAACCTACCGTTGTTGGTAGCCAAAGAGTTTTCCTTCACAATATGTCATTTTTGTCATGGATAAATAGAGCTGGCATGTTTAAGAGGGCCATTGTTTGGTGCAATAGAAAGCTCTTTCCCACTTCAGCTTGCAACTTTCCCCATAATTGAGTGTTTCAAGTTTCTTATGAGTTTAGCACTGTTCCAGAATAGAGAAACTTTGATCAATCAATCAATCAATCAATCAGAATAGAGCTGGAAGGGGGCTTGGAGGTCTTCTAATCGCTCAAGCAGGAGATCCTATACCATTCTAGGTGGCTGTCCAGCCTTTTCTTTAAAAAAATCTCCAGTGATGAAGCACCTATAACTTCTAATGGCAAATGGTTCCACTGGTTAATTGTCCTCACTATTAGGAAGTTTCTCCTTAGTTCGAGGTTGCTTCTCTTCTTGATTAGCTTCCATCTATTGTTTCTTGTCTTGTCTTCTGGTGCTTTGGAAAAATAAGTTAGTTGAACCTTCTTCTTTGTGGCAGCCTCTCAAATACTGGAATATTATGTCTCCTTCTTTACTCTAGACTAGCCAAACCCAATCTTGCAACCTTTCTTCACGTGTTTTAGTCTCTAGGACTTTAATCATTTTACAACACTAATTCAGAATAAAGCTAAATTAATGTCCCAAAGGATTTTATATATCACACAACACAGTTGTGTGAAACCAGAGCACATTTTGCTATATGTCAAAACTTCCCTTCTTTTCAACTCCAATCCAAGTCCATGTTAGGGAGATGATTTTCTTATTGTAAATCATTCTTGGTTGGAGCCAGAAGATCTGCCAATTACTTTCGTTAATTTTTCCTGCATTAAATCTGTAAAGACAACACCAGTGTTTTGCTGCATTCCTAAAGCAGCTTTCATTAGCGTACTTTTTGCCAGTTTAAATAGTGGAAAAATTCACATTAGCATAATCATAAGGAAGACTTTTATGAATGGAGAAAGGTCCTAGTTAACTCACCATCATCATTTCCTGCAGATACCATAATCCTATTGGAGATAGATCTTTTGTTTCGTTTGGCATAAAAATATCTTCTGGAAATGAGAGACACATAAAATATGAATGGCATCAAGATCTGAATTGAACACAAGTTGCTTTGTCAGGGCACAAATGTGAAGGACATCAGATGCTCAACAGAGCTTTTTTGGGAGGACAATTGTGGTTATCACTCATAAGCTTAAAATAGTCCACTAGAACACAATATCTATTATCACTTGGGCCATTAGGGGAGAAGATCAGAGAAAATACCTGGGGTCCTTATTGGGACCCCGTATGCAGCATGGAGTTGAGAAACACATAATATCAACCTAGAAATGTCTCCCCAGGCTCATAAAGCCATTTAATTCAGAATCTAAAATTATCTTCCTATATCAATGGAATTTATAAAATTAAGGAATCTCCATCAATAGTTATTGACTAATTTTTGTAAATGGGCTGGACATGTTATCAAAGAAGAACTATTTCTGGCAACTGTTCCTTCAGAAAATTGGAGGCCACCAGATATGGGGAAGACTCATCTGGGGCAGAGATCCATATCTTATTCTGGGTTGAGGATCAGACTTGACCTTGAGTACCATGCTAAAAGCATGACATTCCAAAAAAGAAGGGATGAACATGCCAAGGACTGAATTTAATGTAATTTAAATTGAGGGTCTTAATTTAATTTAACTGAGACAGCATATCTGGGCATGTATTTAATAATTTCCTTCTTCTGCCAGGCTAAAAATTTTAATCTACTAACACTTTTGATTTTTTATTTTTATTTTTGCATGCCAAATTTTCAGGAACCAGATACTGTACAGCTTAAGCACTTATGCCTTAGGATTTCAAGTATATAAAACATCTGGAATTTAACCACCAGATGCTCACTCTTTACCTCTAAAGTTAATACAAAGCCATTCCTTCATTTTTCTTGACTAGTCTCTCCTGTTACCCTTTTGCCAGGCCTATCTTGTAGAGTCCACAATCTTCTCTTATACATAGTCCTCCAAATTTGGTACACAATTCCCACTATTTTTTGGCACTCTGTTACATCCTGAGTACTTGCCTCCTGTTATGACTCATCAACTTTTTCTGTTGTCTGCGAGCTCGGTTGACTGAAACAAGAAAGGTTGACAGAGAACATTTCAAACACAGGTAGTCCTCAACTTTCAACAGTTCATTTAGTCATTAGTCAAAGTTACAATGGCAATGAAAAAAGTGACATGGCCATTTTTCACACTTATGACCATTGCAGCATCCCCATGGTCACATGATCAAAGTTCAGATCTTGACAACTGATTCATATTTATGTCGTTTGCTGTATCGCAAGGTCATGTGATCCTCTTTTGTGGCTTTCTAACAAGAAAAGTCAATGGGGAAGCCAGTTTCACTTAACAACTATGTGACTAACTTAACAATGGCAATGATTCGCTTAACAACTGTGGCAAGAAATACCATGGGGCAAAACTCACTTAACACATGTCTCACTTAACAACAGAAAATTTGATCTCAATTGTGGTTGTACATTGAGGACTACCTATAAAGGGTTTTCTTCACTGTAGCAATTTTGACACATTAGTTTGGTGTTTCTCAACCTCACCAATCATAAGATATGTGGACTTCAACTACAGAATTCCCCAATCAGCTACATCTTAAAGTTGCTGAGTTTGAAAAACAATGCACTAGTGTGTCAAAGGGGAAAAAAATATCTGAAGGTTTCATATCCCAGGAAAAATAAATTGGACGGCTACATACAACATTCAGGGAAAGAGTCAAAAATAGATTAAAACTACCTCTTCATCTATTTGTTCTTCATTAATTACCTTTCTCAAACACTAATATATGCACACACACACATATGTACCTATAAATCCTACCTCTCCCACTATGTCTATAATTTGCACTACTAAAAAAATAGATGAACAATGTAGATTGGATTATTTCAGGTGGTTCAGGAGAGCTCCTTTGCTACTTGATATTCTTACTGAACATCCTGCAACTTTTAAGGAATAACTATAAATCCACTCAAAAGAAACCATCAATATTTCTTGGCCGATAAATAATAAATTGGGAGGGGTCAGTTCATTTGTGGGAAGAACAATAAGAACACAGACAAAAAAAGTGTGTGTGCTCTTAATAAAAAGTGAGTGAAGATTTAATATTCCTTCATCCTGTTTTCCCCAAAACAACAATTTTGTGAGATGGGTTGGACTGAAAGTGATTGGCCCAAAATCTTAGGGTCTCATGTCTAAGACCAGTCTTCCTATTTCTGGACTTGTGGTTTAACCCCTAGACCAAATTGGCTCTAAGATGGGATGGGATGGTTATCATAAATAAAGGAATCCACAGACTTCATATTTAACTATAAAATTAATATGACATTATTCCTTCATTTATTTTATTCTTTCATTTATTTTATTAAGCCTAAAATATCACCATTTATTGAGGGCTCCCAGAAGTTGCAATAAAACATCAAAACTAGAGATCAGAATATTAAAACATTTAAAACAAAATCAACAGCCAAGAAGCCTATTGGGGTCCTCAGTTTTCCAGAGAGTCATTCCAAAATAATGAAAGGGACTATGGAGAAGAGTCAACCTAGGTTTCTGTCAAACATTGCAAAGGCTCAAATAATCTCAACAAAGGAGGAACCTATAGAGGATTATCTCAAGCCATGTAAGCTTTAAAAGTAATACAGGTAATCCTTGATTTACAACCATTCATTCAGCAACTAAAGTTACAATGACACTGAAAAAAATGACTTATGACCTGTTGTTGCACTTATGACAATTGCAGTGTCCCAAGGTCATGTGATCAAAATTCAGGCACTTGGTAGCTAGCATACATTTGCATTGATTGCAGTGAGATCATGGGGTCATCGTGATGATCCCAACTGATGATCCCAGTTGCAGCCATCCCAGCTAGCTTTTGACAAGCACATTCAATGGGGTAAGCCGAATTTGCTTAATGGCATTGTGATTCACTTAACATAGTGGCAAAAAAGTCTGTAAAATTGGGATTGACTTAACAACTGCTTTGCTTAAAAATGAAAACTCTGGTCCCAGTTGTGGTCGTAAATCAAGGACTACCTATAACCAAATGGCAAGAAATATTTGTACTGAAAGGATTAGCTTTAATCTACAGGTAGTCCTCTATTTACAACAGTTCATTTAATGAGCGTTTGAAGTTACAACATCCCTGAAACAAAGTAACTTATGACTATTTTCCACATTTACCATTGCAGCATCCCCATACTCACATGATCAAAATTCAGACGTTGGCAACTGACTCATACTTATGACGGTTGCAACCTCCTGGGGTCATGTGATCCCATTTTGTGACCTTCTGATAAGCATAGTCAATGAGGAAGCCAGATTCACTTAACAACCGTGTTACTAATTTAACAACTGCATTGATTCACTTAACAACTGTGGCAAGAAAAGTCATAAAATGGGGCAAAACTCACTTAAACAAATGTCTCAGCAACAGAAATTCTGGGCTCAACTGTCTACTTGTGTTAGTCTTTACATTTAACTTATCAGAGACAGCAGCATAAATTACCGGAAATATTTAACCATACATGTCTCTCATTCTGATTATAAAGATACATACCTTGCCGGAGCTTTAGAAAGCAAAAAACAGAGCCAAGGCATACAGCCATATATCCCATTGCTACAGACCAAATCATCCAATGCAAAACAACTTTCATTGGGATGGAGGAGAAGGAAGAAAAAGATGTGATTAGGCTTTATTAAAGTTCAATTCAAAGATATTTCTAAAGCAAAAAGCAGGTTTTCTTCAATATATAATGCACAGTAAATAAATCAATAATACTAGCAATAATTAAATAATAGCTGCAACAAATAAATATGAATATATATGTGTGACGATAAATCAGTTCATATCCCCTCTGTTTGAAATAAGAAAAGAAGGTGTGTTTTCTAAGACAGTGCCTGCTATGCCATTTCTAGCTTTTAATAAGCACTTGTATTAAATGTAGCAGTGTTTTTAAAAATACCCAATACTGGTTGAATCTGTTGCCCATCAAAATTCTTAGCATGTTTTCATTTTACACCTGCACAGTATAAATAAATATTAGGCACTGAGCATTTTAATTTTTAATTTTTAAAACAAAGTTTCCTATCTTCAGAGCTGGATATTAGGCTTAAAGGCTGTTATCACTCGTTCAGCACCTGATGAAATGTTAGATGCTAATGAAAAATACAAGCACAGGTTCCAGCTACAGTGTCATTCAAAGCTTGTTGCCTGTTTGCCTGATAAGGCAACAAATGTATATATGGTATTAATTCGGAAAATGTGATTAGATTATGGTATATAGCAGTGTATCTCAATCTTGACAACTTTAAGGTTTATGGACTTCAATTCCCAGAATTCCCAGGTTGAGAAACACTGGTTCATGATGTAAGGAAAAGGCCGTTGACAAAAATTTGCAGGAATTGCTTCCTAGGCAAAAAGGTTGAAGCATTTTTAAAGTCCAAAATGAAATAACATTTGGAAGCTGCTCAGGCAGATACCTTCCTAATTCACTTGAGTATAACAATCAGGGGGGTGGGAGAAATAAAACGAGACTTGCAAGATTCTCAATAAAAGTAATATTACCCTTCCTGTAGAGTTGATGTCCCATCTGGAACATATGGCCCCCTGAGGACCTTAGAATATTTCAAGAGGGCCAGTAGTGAAAAATATGTAACTGGGATTCACAACATCTGCTGAGCAGCCACAAAAATATAAAGCATATTATATTACACATACTGTCTTATCGATGCCAGAAAACACACCAGTTACTGTCCTGTGTTTGTATCCAGTAATGGGACAAGGGTGAGAAGATGAGTGTTAGTACCACAGGAGAAAAACAAGGCTGGAAGAGGGCCACAGGTTAAAAAAAAAAAAGATTGAGAAACACAGATCTAGTTTATAATCTCTAGAAATTATTGGTTTATGAGTTTTTCAAAAACAATGTGATTTTCTTTTAAAAAATACCAGAAATAATAGCTTTGGATTTTATAAACCTGATGGCATTTTTAAGTTCATACTAACTTATTTACAAACAGCTTTCCCTTCCCACCAGTTTACTTAGAGCCGCACCTGTCTTTGCTATCACCTCTAGTTGAAAATAGCAAGTCTGATTTTTCCACTGGCAGGAATAGTTCCCAGCATCTTCCAGAGTTACTCTTGGAAGGATCAAAGAAACAAGATTAGCATTCATATCCAGTGAGTAGTGAACGGAACGCCGTATTGTCATATTAATCAGAACTATATTTTGATCTGGTGAATCATGCTGAATCCAGAGCAGTGTCCCCTCTGTCCAATTTCTATGCACTGGCGCATCACAAGAAAAATATTTGGGATCCATTGCTGAATGAGGCAGTTTTTCCTGGTGTTCTACGGAAGAAAAGTTAGTAATAACTAGTTGAACTGAAGCACAATTTTACATTAATTCCACATATGAAACTTGAAGATGCTTTAAATTCTAGCTGCATTTTGGCTACACTTCAGATAGCTTAGAAATTTAAAGACTAATGATTCTGCTTTAAAGAAGCTTTAATTTTCAATTTAAAAAAAACAAAATTAAAATATTTGTAAGGTTCATTCCGTGATAGTTTTATATGTCCCATGTCATCTTCATGTTACAGACAGACTTTCCAACTTTAGGAATATTTTATTTTGGCTACAAAATTGGGGATCACAATACAGGCTGGAAAAAAAATGCTGAAAATTATCGCCATGTACTGAATTTAATTATACAGATGTTTGCAATCTGAGCTATGATAGTGTATTTCTCCTCTTAAATAGTACCAATTCCACTAACAGATGCTATTTGCTATTCAATTCCTGTCCATTACTGAACACTCTTTAATAATTAAAGGAATTATCTTCCAACTTCTAAACTTCTATTCATGTGCTTGTATACAATTCCTATTAATTTATGTTACAGATAATGGAAACTATAACCCAACACAACTAAAGGATATTGGTTGGAAAAAAAAAAAGCAACCATCACCTAGATGGAAGGATTACAACCTACATCCTACCAAAGATTCATATAAAACCTCCTTACTCACATTCTTTTCAACCCCATAAAAATTTATACTTCTTCCCTATTCATTTTAGTCATTGCCTTGTCCATGTGGTAATAGAAAGGTTACCCATCCCTTTCCCAATGAAAAATGGAAGGTAGCTCTGATTTGGCCTTAAGTGTGATGGAATCTCTCTGATGGAATCTCATGCTAGAATGAAGGGAAGGAGTGAAAAGACTGGTGACCTTGGAATCCTTGCAGAGAAGGAATCCACAGAGAATCACCACCATCACTCCACCTTGGAATTCCTGAAGATTTCATCTGGCTGTTCCCTTGAAAATAGCTAGGCAATAATGAAGAAGCAACTCTAATCAACTCACGGTATTGTTCTGGTTCCTTGTGGCTGATATAAGGGAAAGAGCTGTTTTCATCTGGAAAATTTCCACCAGGATAGCCTTCTTTCTCATATGCTTCCATTTTCTCTTGGATGTTGTCAGAATCATCTCCACCTAAAAAAATAAGTTTGGTAAACCAGCCCAGAGTCATTGGAGATGGGTGGCATATAAATTTAATGAATTATTATTGTGTTTCATCATACAATTAGCTAGATGTTAAGATTGGATTTGGCATTTTTATCCATCTATCGAATCTTTCAAAAAGATCTGGGATGGGCAGATGTTGCTGTTATTATTTACTTGGTTCACTTTTTTTTCAGCCCAGAAAATTACCTTTTCCCCCAGCCTCACTTCTTTCTCTTTTATCCCTCTAATTGTGTTTCCTTAAGTGATCCCCTATGCATATGTTAGACTGTCATGGTCACCTTATCCTATAATCATCCATGATTAAAATAGTTTATTTCGGCCTTGCAGACCAAAAGGCAAAGTATTATTGGGTATATTCTTAATTTGTGCATGGTGTTGGCCATAACAATGATACCATCTAAGCAATTATCACAGCTGTTCTTCTTCCATTTGTTTATTGTTAAATATAACATTCTTCTTGGAGATGCCGTACAGATATTCAAGTTTTCCCCATTAAAATCAACTCTGGGATACAGGGCTGAATTGGGTAGGAAGATAGACTAATTAGGCCCCAAGACAGCTTAGCTAGATTATTTGGCTGAGGGAAGACTTTAAGCTGGTCTCCTTGGTCCTAGTCAATCAATGTAACTATCATATCATGTTGGGTCTTCTTTCTCTTGTTTCTTCTGGGGTAGGATATCTGCCATATTTTCTGGACACCCATGGCTAATTTGAAGGCAATACTGTTACCTGCTACATTGTCCTACCTAGATTCTTTTCATCCTGGATTGATGCATCATCAACAATACATAACATTTTGAGCAGACTTCCCAAACAGGGTCTTGACAGATTTAGACTATAATTCTAACCATCCTCCAGCCAGCAGGGTCAATGTGGTTAGGGATGATGGAAGTTCAAAGTGAGGGATGGAGGGGAGCTAGGGAGAACAGTCAATTCTCTAACAACTTTTCATTATTACAACACTTACTGGTTCTGTTTGGAAGCATGTGGCGGTTTCCTGACAGTCCATTCCAATTACATGTAAACCAAGTGGTATTTTGCACAACAATTTGGTAGATCGACAAGCCCCACATAGCATTAAGTCTTGTCTCTGGATGGTGGTACCCCATATTTACATACAGCAATTCATTCCTTTTTGGACCAAGCCAGATCAGATCTAAGTCACCTGAAGTCAGAGAATGATCCAGACCGCAGGACAAAGAAACTTGCTGGGATTCTGGAACGTGAGATATAGTTATTAAGACTTCCTTTCTTTCTAGGAGCAATTATTTTTTTCTGATTAGTGTTTACTTCTTCATCACATGGAAGTACTCAACAAGTCAAATAAAAACAATGATACTTTCAAAATGAAGCAAATAATTAATAACCCTTAAAGAATTTCTAATTGCTAATACCAATTTAAAAAGGAAATTTTTCAGTTAAGCGTCTCAAAAAGAATGCAGCTCTAAAACTATTTAAAATATAACCACATTTTTAAAAAGCAAATTCTTAAAACAGATTAAATTAACCCAGTAAGTTAGAATAAGAATCAAATGACAAATTTGCATAGCTTTTAAAAATTAATAAACAATATCTAAACTGATTCTGGGTTGTTTTTTATCCCTAAGTTTAATAATAACCTGATGGTTTCCAAAAGTGAATTTCAGATGTCATTTTTTTCTGAAAAAGGCTAAAATAATACTTGCTGAATATTGTCTATATACTGCACTAAAAAACAACAACCAGATCTACAACCTAAAATACAACAAGAAAAAAGATATGGGGATGATAAGAAATGCAAAAAAACCCAGCTTTTTTTATCTCAAGCTTGCTATTTGCAAACCTCAGATATTTGGTCTGGAATTGCCCATGATGGGAAAAGGACACACATTGTTTCTCTAAAGTTTTACTTCGACACTGTTGACTTTCCCAAAATATACCTGCCTGTTAATCTGAAATCAGTTATCAACTAAACTTCCAATTTTCAACCATCTACAAGACCCACCTGTGACTTGGATCACCTGCAGAGTTTCCTTGGTTGTTTCAGTGGTTGCTGTCCAGTGGCAGGAGAGCCATAGGAGAAGCAAGTAGCATAGAACCGGTGCCATTACCTCCTTCCTACTAGCTAAAGCAAGCGAGGCTCAAACAAACCTAAAGAAGCGTCACACCAGCAATAATTTTAGCAAAAGAGACTGCTCTGAAGCATGAATTCTTCATTAAACTCCCCTGAGAGCTGAATGGTTGCCCCAAGGGAGAAGAGAAAAAGCAGAGAAATAATTCCAGCAAGTGCATGGTAATTGAGAGTGTAAACTTTAGTGTCTAATGTCTATGCAAAGTTTAGTTCTGTATTTTACATCTTTTCTATATTCAAACAAGCCATGGTGGTCTCTTTAGGAAATATGGGTCTGAGTTCCCAGGTCTGTACATTTCTTCTTTTGGTTTTTTTTCTCCTTGGGTGAAACATTGATCTTTAAATAAACCCTGAGAAAATTGGGGCATTGCAGCTTCAGCTGGCAGAGAGAGGTCAAAATGAAACAGAAATCTTTATTAAAGTTGCATACCATTACTGTATTTGGTGGGATAATTATTAATTATAGCATATACTAATTTTTACTCTGAATGTTTGTCTTTTCAAATTGTCCATCCCCAAAATATTAGTTTCTCTGTTTTTAATAATGATAGTCATTGCTGCAATAGGAATTTTAGGGACATTCTAGGACAATATATACAAAAGGTAAATTACCAAGTTCAGGAAACACTTTTAAGACCAGGTAGAATCCATTTGATGTTATTCACCCTTCAAGGAAATCAGATACAGATGTGATAGATGATAGATAGATGATAGATAGATAGATAGATAGATAGATAGATAGATAGATAGATAGAT